TGATCAGTAGGCATAGGTGGTGTTTTGATCAGCAGATCTAGATGACAATTTGATCAGTAGGCATAGGTGGTGTTTTGATCAGCAGATCTAGATGACAATTTGATCAGTAGGCATAGGTGGTGTTTTGATCAGCAGATCTAGATGACAATTTGATCAGTAGGCATAGGTGGTGTTTTGATCAGCAGGCATAGATGACAATTTAATCGGTAGGCATAGGTGGTGTTTTGATCAGCAGGCATAGATACAAATCCGATCAGTAGACATAGATGACAATTTGACCGATAGGCATAGGTGGTGTTTTGATCAGCAGGCATAGATGCAAATCTGATCAGTAGGCATAAGTGGTGTTTTGATCAGTAGGCGTAGATGCTGTTTTGATCAGCAGGCATAGATACAAATCTGATCAGTAGACATAGATGACAATTTGATCGATAGGCATAGGTGGTGTTTTGATCAGCAAGCATAGATGACAATTTAATCGGTAGGCATAGGTGGTGTTTTGATCAGCAGGCATAGATACAAATCCGATCAGTAGACATAGATGACAATTTAATCGGTAGGCATAGGTGGTGTTTTGATCAGCAGGCATAGATACAAATCCGATCAGTAGACATAGATGACAATTTGACCGATAGGCATAGGTGGTGTTTTGATCAGCAGGCATAGATGCAAATCTGATCAGTAGGCATAGATGACAATTTGATCAGTAGGCATAGGTGGTGTTTTGATCAGCAGGCATAGATGCAAATTTGATCAGTAGGCATAGATGACAATTTGATCGGTAGGCATAGGTGGTGTTTTGATCAGCAAGCATAGATGACAATTTAATCGGTAGGCATAGGTGGTGTTTTGATCAGCAGGCATAGATGCAAATCCGATCAGTAGGCATAGATGACAATTTGACCGGTAGGCATAGGTGGTGTTTTGATCAGCAGGCATAGATGCAAATCTGATCAGTAGGCATAGATGACAATTTGATCAGTAGGCATAGGTGGTGTTTTGATCAGCAGGCATAGATGCAAATTTGATCGGTAGGCATAGGTGGTGTTTTGATCAGCAGGCATAGATGCAAATCTGATCAGTAGGCATAGATGACAATTTGATCAGTAGGCATAGGTGGTGTTTTGATCAGCAGGCATAGATGCAAATCTGATCAGTAGGCATAGATGACAATTTGATCGATAGGCATAGGTGGTGTTTTGATCAGCAGGCATAGATGCAAATTTGTTCGGTAGGCATAAGTGGTGTTTTGATCAGTAGGCGTAGATGCTGTTTTGATCAGCAGGCATAGATGCAAATCTGATCATGCATAGATGCAAATCTGATCGGTAGGCATAGATGTTGATTTGATCAGTAGCCGTAGATGCAAATTTGATCAGTAGGCATAGATGTTGATTTGATTAGTAGGCATAGATGTCAATTTGATTAGTAGACATAGATGACTATTTGATCAGTAGTTTGAAAATACATCATCATCTCCATAGTTCTATAGTGTGTAACCTTGCCATGCTGTTTTACACCACTACTCAGAATAATAACTATTTTATGGAATGTGTCTGCATTGATAGTTTGTCTGGTAGTTTTTATATTTGAGTTTTTCACTATTTTCTCTTGTAGTTTTTTAATCACTGATTGAACACCGAACGTAATGTGCACCATTAACTTATATTGTTATTATTGTTTTCATTTTTAGCACTTTTTATAATTTGTATTCACTAGTTGTTTAACCGTTTACTCTTTGTTGCTGCTCAAAATCTGAATTATTTCTTCTGAGCTGCACCTAAATTTATAGTTTCTTTTTCTCCAAATACAATTACCTGTGCATGGCTTGTTTACGACTTTAATACTAAACTTTGCATAAATTATCACTGATCGTTGTTCCTGAACTTATCACATGTGATCACATTTCTGACCTAAACATGGTGTCAAATGCTGGAAGTAAATCGTGAAACTGACGACAGTTATTTCTGATGAATTCCGCAATGATACAGCTGTTGTTTTTCTTCTCTCCACTACCCTGGACATTGCGTTATAACCTCAATGTGCCATAACCTTTATAAGTTCTCTAGAGACAGTCCTGAATCATTAGGGAAACTCAAAATGTAAAATCAATCCATTTAAATTCCCAGTATCTTGATTTGGCTATACAGTGCGTTGGCGGAGATCATGCAACTCTCAAATTCCGGTTCAATACATTTGTTGATTTGCAATATTTTTTTACCATCACATTACATCTAATTTCCGTAAGTATATTTCTCAATATGTATGTTTCGGTTAGATGTGCAAGTTGAATGAGAGATTTACATTTGATGTATTTCTGTGATTCAGGCTGGTCTTCTTCTATACAGGGAAATCAAATTTGTAGTCTTTTAAAGCACACCAAATACCAATGTGTAAAATTTAATTATTTTGGCAGATCTGCTTCAATGTCTGATTAGAGTATCAAGCTGGTGAATAGTTTTATAGCGACAACAATTTTACCAATCACGTCTACATGTATGTAAAAAATAAAATACTAAATTATTAATTTATCAAACTTGAGCGTTAACCAGATCATTGATGAGAATTAATGCAATGTCCACATTATCCAATTGGAGAGTACACAGGAGTCGCGCTGTAATTCGTAAACAACCGTTTTAACGTAATCGTGCCTTGGATGTTTATCTATATATTATCAGATCCACAACAGCTACCACCCGGTGCAGTTTACCAGACTAAAACCGTGGAGGGCGACTTGGTTCATACTGATACCTACTACCCAGTTAAGGTACCAGGAACTGTAGAGACCGGAAGAAGAATGGTTAGACAGACAGCTACATATGATGGGATTGGTCCAGTGGATAATGAAAGTGGTATGCCCATTGGACTCAGAACTGTAAGTTATATTGTAAAAATAAAAAACTAATTGCTTATGCTTATAGAAAGTTGTTTACGTCACTCATAAAAATCACTTACATGTTATAGGACGCCTAGTCCTCCCCCTAAAATTTAGTTTTCCAAAAAAAAATGGCTGGTAGAAATTGAGCAATCCAGAAACGATATATGGGACATCATCGCAAGTTCTGAATAATAATAATGACATAGTTCCACATCATGCCTTTCACTTTGAATACTGTAAAATAATTTATTCTCACTTGGAATAAATTTTCACTGAAGGAATGATTCAGTGAAAGTAAAATCCAGCAAATATACCTTTTTAGTCCCCGTTCGGACGCAGTCCGAAAACGGGGACTTATGTTTTGCCCTGTGTGCGTCCGTCCGTGCGTCCGTGACCACCTGTATCTCGAACATGCATGGACCGATTAAGTTCAAACTTCACTCATACATCACACATTATATGGGACATATGCACATGCATTTTTTTCATGATCCGATTAACGATAGCCGAATAGCGGCCATTTTAAGGCCGAAAATGCATCAAAATCGCACATTTTCACCATTCCGGACCCGGATCTCAGTTATGCATGGACGGATTTCATTCAAATTTGGTACATACATTAAACATAATAGGACCTTGATGCACGTCATTTTTTTTTTGGGATCGGGTTCGAAATGGCCGACTGGCGGCCATTTTGTTTTAAAGAATTCAGTTCTGGATCCGTATCTGAGACATGCTTGGATTGATCGAGTTCAAACTTCACACACACAAGGTACATCAT